AAAAAAAAAATCATGGTCGAATGTATGCCTTACAATGACGTATAATTTGTAGGTGAAACAACATGGTTGACGAACTTTTATCTTTTTTCAAAGTCATGCTACTACCACCTAACCCGAGCATGGTATGCTCTGTTTATTCTTTAACTACCCATAAAAGTTTATTTTGAAAATTTTTAAGAGTTAATAATTATGTACATTACAATTTTAAAAACAATATTTTTTGTAAAAAATTCCTCAAGTCATCGCAGGTGATATTATTTCATTCTTCCACAAACATGCATTGTGGAAACCAAGGAAGGATGCATTGTGAACATACCTATGAAATTACAGTGAGGATGAATAAAAGTTTCTCATACTTGAAAGATGGCTGAAGGCATTTCATGCAATAATAAAAAAAATAATGTTAGGGTGCTTTTTTATGTTTTCGAGCGAAACAACTTGTTAAGTTTTCATGTTTTGATTTTTGACCCAAATGGTTCTGCAAGACCGGCACAATACTGTTCCAACGAATCATGAAAAACAATACTGTTCCAACGAATCATGAAAAATAATCCAACGAAAGAGCACCTCTGGTAAGCATTTACTGTGTATAACTACTCATTTATTTAGTAAATTGTTAAATTACAGTCATTCAAATTATTCTCCTAATTTGAGTTGAAATCATTTGTAACGTAGCCAATCTAACGTTGTTTTGAAGATCACACATTGAAGAATTAAACGGCGGTGCAACTACAAATTTGCTCAAAGTCAGAGAAAATAAATATGAGATGGACATAGTCCATGCTGAGGAATAAATTGATGCAAAATGGGAGATGACAAGATTACCTTAATGAAAACAACATTACTGAAGTTTAGTTTGTGAGTTCAAACTTCTCTCAAGATGAAGCAGTTACTTTTAAGGTTAAAATTTTTAAAATCTTCATATCGAACTTCATTGCTTCGTGTGCGCGAGCAACATTGTCTGATTTAATGTATATTAGCAATATTGTAAATTTTTATGAAACATTGAATCTTTCGCAGATTCTTTGATATTAGTTTGAATTTTAATATCTTATCTAATTTGTTAATCTCGTGATATTACAGTTTTTTTGCATCGCACGTTCTTACAGTTTTTCCATTCAAGTATATTCATGTACCATTAGATTCATGTTCATCTACCTAAATAAAATAATTACAAGTTATATAGTACTCACATATTTTTTAATTGAAATAATTTTAACCCCAAATTGGGCCGGTTGTGCTGTGCACAGCCGGGAACAAACTAGTATATTCATATAATAATTGATATACATGCAAAAAGCCATTGGAATTGATAATAAACATGTACAGAAATTCATTCCAATTTTGAGGGGCAAAACGGGTATTATATTCCATGAGCTATTTGGCCTCAAGGACTTCCATGAGCCAATTGACCATCCAAATGATACGTCCACTCTCTATTTACTTCTATAATCTCAGGTTCCTCTGCAAAATATATATTATATATATATATATATAAAAATATGATAACGTTAATTATCAAATATTACATAGATTTAATGTAAAAAGGTAAAGAATAATAATATTTTTAATGAAATAAAAGGTTGATAAAAAAAAAAACTTTAACTAAAAATCATAAATAAAAATTAGCTTACTTTTGAGAATTGAGGCTTGATCGCGAGTTAGTTTTGCAGAAAAAATACCCGAAAAGTCTTCGAACGTGTATCCGATGGCATCCTTGGCTGCCTTCTCACTACATTAATGGTTACTCATATATCATCACTATTCTAATTTGATTTTAAAAAAAAAAAACTACAAATATATTAGTCAAGCTATTGTTAGGTAATCCTAACGGTTAGTCAGTCATATTTTTCAATAAATACATACTTTCAAACTGCAATATCATGCTTTGAAAAATAATATATACAGAGAGTATGCATTTCATATTGTAAATTATGCATTTTAGTTAATAAAAAAAAGTTATGACACATTGACTCGCCTAACTGTTAGACTGTCATACACGAGATTTGTGTTCGTAAATAGATAAGCGCAAGAAAAAGACACCTTCCAAGTACAGGGATCAAGAGTTTGTAAAAATCCGATGTGGGCACTGTTGGGTCGGTATAAACCACGTACACATATGTCGTTTCGTTCGAGGATGGTTCGGGTCCTTTTGCGGGTCGAGAAGGGAGATTCGAATCATGGGTTTTCGTGGCTGCATAAGCCAAGAAAATTGATGGTGAGAAACACAAAAATGAGAAAACTAGGATATCTCCTCTCATTTTTTCTTTCTTCTTTTTTTTTTTTAATAAATTTAATGAGAATATTTTGTTAGGAGTGTTTAGTTTTGGCAAGTTTATGTTTGGTTTGGGTATTTATCGTTGGAATTTAGAGGTAACTCGTTTAAATTTTGGTTTTGATTAATTGTTGGCTCCTTAAGTAAAAGGGGGTTTCAGTTTTGTGTTCAGTTTTTTTATTCTTCGTATTGAATAAATGTTGTGGGATTAGAAACGGCCTTGGTTTTAATTGAGATGTTAAAGAGCACTTAACAGTGTGTGTTATGGTCATTCTTTTAATATTTGGATTGACCGGTTTTGCTATGAAACCATCGGATGGTTCGACTTATGGAGTCATCCATAATTATCTACGAATGGTGTATTGACACGTGTCCCGCAATAAATACACATAGGACACGTCTCAATATATAAAGTTATGGATGACTCCATAAGAGAACCATCCGATAGCTCCATAGTATTTCTGTTGGACCGAATCTCCTCTTACACTTTTACTAGTTGAACTTGTTAACATGTATAGATAAAAATTACAGAGTATTATAAATTATATGTATATATATATTATTATAATTATAAATTATCATATTTTACAAAATTAGTTATTATATAAATGAACAATATAGATATAAATTATTTAACTAATCTCTATACTAATTGGATAAAATGTAATTCATAACATATTTTTTGTTACTTTGAGGTATCATGGCCAATTTATTACCTAAGAAAATATATTGAAATGATAATAATAACAACACAATAATATTTATTATAAAAAATTAAGGGGTTTTTTCATGCCATTAAATTAATTATATTATTTAAAAAAAAAAAACATTACTTTTTGAATAGCTTGAAAGGAAATGCAGTATAGTTTTTTTATGATTATGTAACTTACGTGTACCATTTAGTGTAAATTATAACTAGTTGATTTTGGTAATAACCACAAAAAAACCCCATTTGACAAACATCCACGCTCCTCATATTTGTACTCCAATTTACGACGAAGTGCAGCTTGTAGACATACGTGGTGCGGTTATGTTGGTAAGCCCAAGTGGAGAGTTTGGCATGCAAACGAGCCGAATCGAGCATTGGCTTTATCGAGTATGATTGATTTTTATTTTTTTTTTAAATTGCTCGAGATCGAGCTCGACTCGATAAAATATACAATAGCTCGAGCTCGACTTGAATTCAAAATGCTCGAGCTCGACTCGAGTTCGGTTTGAAAATTTTCAAGCAACTTTGTAAAATTACCATTACGTACATATATTAATATTATGATACATATATATATACAAGAGGTATTTTAGTAATTTATCATATATCTCGATCTGCTAGCGAGCCGCTCGACAATGTAAAATATGGGCTTGAGCTCGATTCGAGTACGGTCAAACTCGAGCTCGAGCCGAGCTTTGACTCGAGCGCTGCGCTCGCGAGCGTTTCGCCAGCTGCTCGACTCGTGTGTAGCACTAGTTTGGCCACAATTAAAACTATGAACGAGTTGAACTGAGATAAACATTGATCTTATTGAGTTAAGCGTGATAATTTTACAGTTGCTTGAGTTTGAGCTGGACGAGTCGAATATTTTTAATCCTGAATCAACTTGATGACAAATGCAACCGCTCGAGATTCGCTCGTGATTGCCTCACATTTTGTTTGAGTTTGACTTAAAATTCCAATAGAAAAATATATTGTTAAAGGGTTTTAGAGAATTTTACGTATATTTAAGTGGTTCGTCACATACTTAAATTTACAAACTACAAGCTCAAACTCGAGTTCAAATTCAAAGTGATAGAGCTCGACAAGTTTGCAACCCTCGACATGTCTTGTGGCTTTCTCTTCTTACATTTTTTTTTTTTCATATTAACGCATATATAAATACTAGGAAATGCTATCTCGACGATTACATAATGATCTATCGATTACAGACCTCGACTGAATAGTTCCGTAACTGTAGCATCTCCCAAAAATATTATTTAATAACGATGAAATCCGTGTTTTTAATGCTACTAGTAGAATAAAAGGATGTCAACAAATTATACAAAATGTCAAGAGCAAAAATATATTTATATTGAAAAGAAATATAACAAAATGTAGGTTAAGTTCACGAGTTGGCTCAAAAAATACGTTGAATTCAAGAAATGCTTTCGAGTAAAAAAATCATTTTCACTTGAAAGTTTATATACATGTGCAAGTGAATAAGAAAATAACATCATTGTAACTATACCCTCCGTATCATAGTTTTCAAACCCCGCCCCGGAAATCAATCCGGGCAGGTTTTCGGGTCACCGTTTCAACTGTTGGGTCACCTGATCAATTGCTGAACTGATAATTAACTTTAAAATTTTTAATATTATATATATAGTATTTTGTCATATAAATATACATAAAAATAACAAAATTAAATATTAGTATATAAAACTTGTACATTAAAGTATTAATAATATGTATCTTATGATAAATATTTACCATATAAATATATATAGATAGTTTTATTTTTAAAAATAAAAGATATTTAAAAAATAAAAAATAAAATAAAAAATATATATAGGGCTGGGTCAATGCCCCGGGTCAAGGCCGGGTTGGTCGGGTTTTGACCTGGTGCTCTGTTGCCCGGTCCAAATAGTTCACCCAGAAAGATTCCGGCTCCAGGTCGATCAGGTTCCGGGTTGACCTGTCGGGTCAGCTCGAGTTGAAAAACTATGCTCTGAGGTGTGCGTGTTCTATTTCATAATAATTCTACTTTCGAACCGAACACGATTGATAATTATTTCACTGTTTTATCTATTCATTACTCAACGAAAATTTAAATTATATTCTTGACTTGGAGTTTCGCTTTTACAAATCTGGTTATAATTGCCAAATCTCACTATTTCATGCTACCAAAAGTGAAATTATAAAATATAATGATATTAGCAGAGGTTAGGGGGATATATTTTCTTGTGACGTTAGTTTGATTCTTCCTTTCTGAATAATTTTTTGTATATAAAAAGAAACACTAACCGACAATTGAGTGTACTGTTTAAAAATTATTAAAACACTCGATTATTGGGCTCTAATGAGGCACGTGAGGCTCTTACTTGGCTACATATAAAGGAGATTATCCGGGGCAAGTTCCTGCTCATAGTTTTCGTGGCCGGATGGAACATGATTTTTGGCATCTTCAGCAATCGTGGACGAGTATACACGCAACTTCACTAGGATGAGCATCTTCGCTCGTGAGATAGTGAACACTGATGAGAAAAAAGCCCAAAAGTTTCTGAAGGGGCTGAACCAGAGGATCCGTGAGCTAGTTGGGAGTCACGGTCTAATGTCCTATGCTGATACTGTGCTTCGGGAGCAGGAAGTCGAGAGTTGTCTTATTCCTATAGCTTCAGTTCCCTCATACTATCATGCTTCTCAGCCTGTCCCGACTTCCGTTCAGTATGCTCAACCCGATTCTTCTGTGCCGCCCGACTCTAGCTCGGGCAAGAGGAAGGCAAATTCCCATCGAGATAACTGGAAAGGAAAGCGAGGAGCCCCCTTAATTTGATCCAATTCTCTCTTAATTGTTTTTTGGGAAATTTACATATATAGACCCTCTATATCAAATATTTACATATATACGTTTTTTATAACTTTTCATCAAAATAGGATTTTGATGGGATTTTTTTTTCATGTATACGAATATCGTATCTCTAATTAATCTTGCTCTTTTATTTCTCTCTTTCACCATATATTAAACCTCCAATTAATTCTCTCTCTCTCTCTCTAATTAATTTCTCTCCAATTAATTCTCTCTCCATGATATATATATTTCTTCTCTCTCTACAAAAATATTAGACGACATGATTCAGAAGGTGATGGATTTTACAAAAGATTTGTTGCAAAATATTATGTTAAAATCAGAAAATTATACGTAAGATAAACATCAGATAAACAAGTCTATAGAAAAAATATACATAAGATAAACAACTCTATAGCAATCGGATCCGTTGCAGAAACTTCACTGCATCATTTTTTCATACCTTGACATAATATATACATATATATATATACACAAGATAAATAGAATATAAACATATTTTTGATTATGTAATAACCAACACGATAACAAAAAGTGTATATATATACATAAAATAAACAGTATATAAACATCTTTGATTCTGCAACAAGCTTGTAACATGAGAACAAAAATTATATATAAACACCATATAAAACATTTCTCAAAATCCAATATACATATAACATGACAAAAAATAATAATAATAAAAAAAAAATCCACTGCCGCCTCTGGTGGCACTACCACCCCGGTGGTCCCCCAACTCCGGCGAGTACCTCATGAAGGTCGGCCTCGGCACCCCTCCCGTCGACATCCTCGCGATCCTCTCGGCGATGGGCTGCTCTTGCGGCGGGTGGACATCTCGACGACATCACCGCCTCTGGTGGCACCACCACTCCTGCTTGCTCGCGATGGGCTGCTCTTGCGGCGGGTGGCTCGTCGGACATGAAGGGATAAGATAGATGAGGGATAAGATGGATGAGAGAGATGAGAGATCAACGATAAATATGAGAGAGAAATTTCTTGATTGACGGTTTCATATGGAAAGAATGGAACATATCACTCTTCCCAATAATCATGGAAGAGGATAACCATCATTAAGTAGTAGGTAGTTACTTTTACAAAAATTAAAACTTCTCTTAGGAGGGTGTATTCAATTGAGATTTTTAAGGACTTTTTAAAACTTTTTAAATTTGTTGACTTTTGTGGACTTTGTAGAACTTTCATGACTTTGGTGGACTTTTTGAGACTTTCAGAGAATTTTCATCAGTGACTTTTGAAGACTTTCATAATGGACTTTTTAAAACTTATTTAGACTTTTATATACTTGCAGTTATAATATTATGTTTGAATAAAATATTAATAAACGTAACATAATAACTAATATAAACAAGAATAAATGAAAAAACAAAAAGATGTTGTATATTTTAATCCTCTAAAAATTTATGAATAA